TGTGTGTGTGTGTGTGTGTGTTGGCCTTGAAAAAAATGCAGCACTGCAGCCAGAATCACCATGTAGCATGTCTGGGTAATTCATCTGCCAACACTGCATTTTGTGCTTTTCTTGTTTTGCTAGTAATGGGCCCATCAATGTGATGAACATTTTCCTCGTGCTCCAGAGAAAATTGCAATCTCTCTCTCCCCATGTTTTCTCCTCCCCCTCTTCTTTAATCACTCCATCTTTCTCACCTCTCACTTGCTCACGGTCATACTCACGTTGTCGTTATCGCCGTTGTTGTTCTCGAATCTCGTCTCAATGCGGATGCTGAACTTGGGGAGGAACGATACCTAGGAGGTGATGAGAGGTAAAAATGGTTGAGGGGCAGAGATAGAGTGGAAGCAGGCAGCAGATTAGATCCACCGATACTGGAAAGAGATGAGCTCTGTTGTGTTCATGTACAGTAAATGATGTGTGAGAATACTTACTGAGTACTCTGCAGCACCAGGGACATTCAATATGGACAGGGAAAACAGCATTAGTTACTCATACATGCATGAGAACACAATTGCACTCTCACACACAAAAACACACATACACGCCTCCACAGGGGAATACATGCATATACGCATTGATAAATATTTGATGGCACTTGGAATACCAGCTGTTATAAGTAAATAAGTTTTGTATAATGCATTGAGGTGAAAGCGAGCTGATGTTTAACACAAACAGTGGCACCTGTGATGGTGAAGGGGTAGAAGTTCCAGGCTTTTTCTGTCACATAGAAGAATCGCGGGACAAATGCTTTTGCCCAGGACGGCAGTTTACTGAAAGCAAGACAGGAGGAGAGAAGAGGGCAGAGTGAGTCGGAGAGTGGGAGAGAGATTATGGAGGTAGACACAGAGCTCCTAAGTGGTTTTCGTGCCATTTATAGCCAGATTACCTGTAGGCTACTCTCGCCATAGCGTTGATTTGATGACTCATTTCCAATTACACCTGTGGTGATGAATTGCTACTGTTGCTTCTAGGTCACATGTCAGAACATGATTGAGGTCCAATATATTCTCAGCAACTGTACTTATGTGTGTGTGTGTGTTCTAGTATATCTTTACAAATGTAGACCAAATGTCCCACAAGCACAGAAAGATTAGGAAAATCCTCCACAGTGAGAACATTTACTTCTTTTAGAGTTTACTTTAGGATTAGGTCTTCGGTTTATAGTGGTGATTAGAGTAAGAGTTGAGGTTACATTAGGGTAATGAGTGAGGTGAGCTGCGGGTTAGGGAATGAATTTAGACTTAAACAAGAATTCTGGTTTGGTTTTTTTTAGACTGGGTTTCCACTATAATCATTGCTCACTAATAAATGGATGGTCATCCTGAGTGCAAAGCAAAGAAAACACATTCTTTCAGCACAAAAACATGAAACCTTTAGTCATCATCTCAGCCATGTCACTGCTCACAGATCCCTGTTTACTTTGACTATGATCTGTAGATGTGTTTAATTCACAATAGGAAAATATCATCTCTTTGCTTTAAAAAACTTCAGAAATCATTTGGGTAAAAAGTCCTTTTAAACCTTACTACACACTTAATGGTGTATGAAACACTTTCATAAAGTCATATATAATTGCCTGTTAATTTCTCAACGTTTGTTTATGTACAGATAATGAATATGTGATAGTGAATATTTTTTTGCACCTGGTCTCAGTAAGAATAGTCTTTGACTATGAAGACTGAAATTCAACACTACAATGAAAAAGAATCAGAGGCTCAAACCTCAAAACAACATATCATCAGGATGACGTGGACGTGTTTTTGTTGGCTGGGAGTCTGAATTTAACACAATCAGAACTTGGATTGTTTGCTGGACGATGAGATCATGAAAAAAAACTGTTCCACTTTAATCCCAAAGCACCGGCTCCAACATGTCTGAGACAGAGGTCATGCAGCTGGACTTTGATGTAGGCAGGTATCCCTGAGGGGTGGGCGTTGCTGTGCTGACATCAGGTTTTATTGCTCGTCAATGGTGATACTTGCACCTACAGGACATCGAGCTTCACAATGAAGCAAGAGCTCAAAGATCAGAGTCAATCAGTTATCATAATGGCAGAGCTGACAACACGAGGACAAGGCTCAGGTTGCTGGATCATTAGGAACACTGTTGTTTGTTAGAGTGCACTCTACCTGCTGAGGTAGATCCGCTTCTCGGTCAGCTGTCCCTGGCCGTGCTGAGGGTGAACGTTTGCCTCATTTTTCACCACTTCCACGCCTTCCCCCCCACCGCTCTGCTCACAGCTGTGCTTACTGATCATATACAGCTGCCCGATCTTGTACTGGATGCAAGAGGAGAGGGTGACAATGGTGATGGAGTGAGAAGAGAAAATCATTATAGTTGTGAGCAAATATGAAGTGCAAGGTGTATACAACCACATTTAAAATCACTAGATCTGGAATCTATCTATTTCATCAAGATCCATGAATTATTCTCCAAGAAATCAATGAGAATGTTAAAAAAAATGTCCCATCTCACAATGTTGAAGAAAGTTTAAAGAAATTCCTGAACAAATGTGTAGTTGTACATATATACATAGACAACTGGACTTACTTGTTGCAAGTCCAGTTGTCTAAAAACACACGTACAACTGAAGATATCTTGACCTGGATGACTGAGATCCTTCAAAGGTATATACATGTAGTCTGACTTTAAGTTTTTGAGCCTGCACACAACCTTGCTTCATAGTTTATTTTTCTGTCTACACTTACACACTTGTTCCAAAACACCAGACTCCTCTTTTGTTTCATATGACTGGCAAGATCAGTCAATGGAAGATTCTCTTTCTATCGTTATGTAATGTCACTTTGTTGTAGATCTGGGGTGTGACAGTTGACAACTCCTCTTGGAATGATTCCAGGGTATCTGTAAACGCCCTTCGAGGCATATTTGGAATTTTGGGTTCTTTAAATAGAAGATTTGACCTGACATTTAGACAAGGCTTTAAACTGAAAGGAATATGGAGATCTGGAGCGACCTCCTCTATGAGCTCAGCTTCACAGAATCTGTGTTACCTTTTTCAAATTCACAAATACATGCTGCAGTAACCTCTCTTCCACTGATGCTGCCTCTGTCCTTGTTCTTTCCCCGTTGTCTGAGTACAGTATTTTGTTTGTCCTCATGCATATCACACAGTAAACTTTGTTTTTTAAGTTATTTTAAAAATATAATTATGCTGTAAACAACTAAACTGTTCAGCTGTGGCCACCACAATGCAATTCATTTTCCTGCCCTATATAAATTGGTGTGCCAGTAAAGCATCATTTTAATTAAAAGTAGAAACAGAGCGAGATGGAGCGGCGAAGAGAAAGAGGAGGGCACACATCAGTTTGCCATCCTTCACTGTACTCTGCTGACATCATGTGACACTCCTCCTTCTTGTTCCAATTACTGGGGAATGTCAACATTCAATATTTACTTATTGTGTATTCATGGGACTTAATTAATCATAGCGATGGGTGCTTTTACACCATCTTTAGACTAACCGACTACACAATAATTACTTCCTCCCACACAGGTTGTGAATCTCTTTTCATTTTGCGGAAAACAAATCTTAAGCAGGAAACTGAAAGAATACTTATCAGTCCCTAAGTCACCATTATGATCTCTGAATGTCTGTGATGAGCGATGTGATGAGAAACTCATCCAGGGTTTTTGGCGTTTATTCTCCTACTGTCTCAAAAGAAAAAACCAGGGGATCGGTTTACAAGCTGCAGTTCATCACAACTTCAGAGCTCATCAATGCTTCAGGCTGAGGTGTGACAGCAAGTGTGAATGAATGCATTTATGATAAAAAAAAACAATGAAATAAATTTCAAAACAAAAACTTAAAATGTGTTTTAAATGGTAATAAGTAAAAACTTGAGCCTGTTATTTAACACTATCTGTTCACTGACAATGAAAATGAAGTAGTTTTTACAAAACCAATAAAACCTTGTAATTACTTGTGTTTGACTGTGTAGTCATCTCATAAATGTAAAATGTATCCCTCTCTGTAAATAATAACCAACATCTTATTCTCTTTTAAAGTGTTGATTTACAGTAGCTATAAAAACACATTGAAAGTTGCTTTACAATACTGAATCAAAGTGGATTTAATGTGACTTTTTCACATTAATTCACACACTGCTGCAGTTTCTTTTTCCTCCTCAGTGACTCAGACGATTCCTTGTTTCTATTTTGACTTGTGGTTTTTTAATCTTGATGCAGCTGTTGACTCAACAATAACTCGCCAAAAGTCTGAACCTCCAAACACAAGTATATTTATAAACCCCTGAGCTCTGCATGACTAATATCCACTTCAGTTATAAGATGACCCCTGATGGAATAGGTGTGTCATGTTTAAAAGAATATATGTAAACCTGTATTTTATAATTCTTTGACATTTTTCCTTCTGGAATAATCTCACATTAAATCCCCTTTGATTTACGGCCATAAAGAAATACAACTTGAAAACTTCCAAGGAGGCTGAATCTGGAGGATGTTGCAGATTCCTTTGGTGTTGGCCTGTGAGCTAAGCGATGTTGTGTTCTCCGCCACATTCTTGCAAACACTTCATCAGGCCCGGGGTTTGATGGCAGTTCTATGGCACCACCTCTCGCATTACATTTATTGACACTTACTGTGTAGACATTTATACCCTAACAGTGTTATAGAGTACTTTTATAGGCAGTCTAAAAGTTGAGTCTACAAAGTAACTGATGCCATTAGTGCCTGAAATTCAATGTACATTCAGGCGACGTTGATATTTCAACCTGATGATGCATCCCGTGACAAGATCGAAGTTTAGATGCCGTTTCAACTATTTTTCAGCATTGAAATGTTTGCAGGGCTGTAGACATACAATAAATGGGGATATAGACTAAGTGCCTCGCTTCAGGACACCGTAGATCGAACCCCCCCAACCCCACTGATCCACTCCACCACTTGAGCTACAGCCGCCAGCTTTTCCCACGGTAGAATATGATACAGGGCATTCTTCAACACGGTGCAGCTGTATTGTATTACAGAAGTACTACTGGATATTTCACTCTTGAAAATCAATACTGCTTCCTCTAGAAATTGAGCAAGCGCTAAGACATCGTGAATGGCTGGGGTTCAGGTAAACTGCCAACGATTTGATACCGTCTCCAAACAGGGCTGCACTTAAACTTACATTACACTCTGGCGAAAAGAGGATTTGCTGCAAGCTATGAAGTTTGTGTGTCCTGTACTGACACTGTAAATCCTATTCTGGACGGCTATTTGTCACTGTCACTGCTGTGGTAACGGGTACAATCAAAGAGGAGTCCGGGGGGCGGGTACAGGAGGTGATAATGACATTCCTCGTGAAGGACAATGTGTTGCATAAACTCCCTCGTCCACTTTACTCACGGGACCTCCTTTGTTTGTTTACCTGCAGGACAAATACCTTTTGTTTGAGTTCGCATCTTGAAATGCTGTAACCAGTCCGACTAGTTTGTGTTCCCTGCGGGGAGTGCTAAGAAAGCGAGGGGAGCAGAAAGACAGACAGATGGGGAGATAATTTAGACACAACAGCCGCGCTATGATGCTGTGAGTTGTGCGTTGGCGCCGTCACGTTGGCCTCGCTACCCGGCGTGCCAAAGCTCCTACAGAGCAGCCGCAGGAGGTCTGTGTGCTCTGTTGGCAATTTTCTTATCGGCGCATCAACACTTTTAAGATTACGAGTTGAGAGAACATTTTTAAATCAGAACCCACTCTTTTGTCTTTGAAATTAAACTTGTTGGAGGGTGTGTGTGTGTGTGTGTGTGTGTGTGTGTGTGTGTGAGTGAGAAAGACAAACACACTTACCTCATCCACAGTCAGTGGCATACATATGCGGTACTCTTTCATCAACATGGTGCTGTTACAGTGAGGACTGTCTTTTTGAACTGTGTCTGAGCTTGAATCTGTCTATCTCTGCCGTCTTGGTTGCATAGCAGACGCCCTCAGGCGAGCTACACTGCTGCTGGACTGCAGTGACCTCTTTTCTGATGCTCCTCTTCCTTTGTTTTGCTGATGTCAGTAGTCCGTGGATTTAAGTCCGTCCTCCCTGTCAATGAGTATCCTCTTGTTTTCTTACTCTGCCACCTCGCTGCACTTCTCTTTCTCTTCGTCACTTTATGTGTGACTGTTCAACCGCTGTCTCTCCCTCCTCGTTACTTCTGCTTTCTAATCTCGTGCCTTCAGCTGCCCCTTTCTGTTTGCTGCTTCTCTTGCTTTCTGTTTGCTTTCTCTCACCACGCTGAGAAAACAAAACCTGGCAATCAGTCAGGAGGTGAAAGACTGAAAGCTACTCCGAGCCAACTTTACCTGTTCTTACCCTTCACTGCTCTCTCTCTGTGCTTTGTTGTAATTCCTCCTCAGAGTCTCATGTGTAACCTTGCTGTCTGCTTGGTGCTCCTCCCTTTCCCCTCAACTGCTCTCCTCTGCTTTCAGTTCCTCTAAAATTCCTCCTCCTGCTCCCTTCTTATCTCCTCTTTCTCTCCCTCCCACCTAAAGTTCCCACTCCACGCCCACTGTACTTTACTACCTCCTCACCTGTGTCTCCCCCCTCCCCCTTTTCTGATTTGTATCTGTTCTTTCTGCTCTTGTCAGCACCACTATTTTCAGTAATAACATCGTCTATCATAGCTCTACATTAGCTAACACAGTTTGTTAACATCAGTCTTTGAATCTGAAGCACATTCCTCACACGGGCCGCCTCACCTCCCTCCCAGCTCTCAGGTTATGGCAGCACTCGGGGTATATGAATGGCTGACACGCAGGGGTAGTCAGAGTGGGCCATTGGATTAAATATTACCAGAGCCACGAGGACCTCCATTAAGCACAGCACCTGACTCGCTTACATTGTATTACCCCATGACCTTCAGCTGGGTTTAATTGAATCTGCGTTTAATCAGTGAGTAGTCGAATCGAAGCAGTCATTATTTCTCACCCATGTCCTTGAGTTGTGGTCCACTCTCCTTCCTGTGTAAGCGAGAGCTGACGCCGACTGCCAAGCTGAAATTGTTGCCCTCCCTATCAAATAAGAGAAGCAGATGTTTGGCCTCTGTGAGTCGGTCTGACAGGAGCCAGAACCAATAACAAGCCCTGGATTATTCCTCTGTGGTGGATTGCTCTTGCTTTTTCCTGGTTGTGCCTTGAGACAGGGCCAAAGTGGCTCTCTGCTATCACCCGCTCTGCAGTGAAAAGAGCGCTGAAGACAAATTCCTGGTGGGGTTTGCTCCTATCTTATCAGATCAGTGTTTAGAGAAGGGAAGCCACTTCAGAGAGCTGAGGTGTGCCCCGCTCATCTCTGCCTCGATTCTCTGTGGACCCTACGCACACACGGCTCTGACAGCACATGCTTCACCTCACTTTAAAAGGTGACTGGTGCTGACTTCATGTGTATTCAACGGTTGATTGAGTCATCGGTTCCTTTGATTGATCAATTAATTCTGGTTGCCGGCTTGTTTGGAAACTGGGTTAATGATAACCATGGTGGGAAATGGCAGCTCTGTGGGAAGTCGGATCCTGCAAATTATGGAGCTGCTAAAAAGATTGATTGCAGATTGATGGATGGAATAGATGTTTACTGTAGTTAAAGATTTATTCTCTGCCTCCTTTTTAAAAGATCACAGTCAGAGGCATTTACCCTATAGTAAGCAGGGATCTTGGGACGTTTTCAGATCTTAGAGATATGACAGTAAAGGGATGACGGGAAATGAGGGCAGAGAGACGGGAGAGACTTGAAACAGGGGCCTCTATCTACAACAGTAATTGAAACATGATCTGTGTCTGGATGTATTATCTAGACAGTAACGTCTGATCCACATCGGACCTGGTTTTGATAAGTGTTATCATTATCTTGACTCTGCTGATACTGTGATCAGTTCTCAACACACAGACTATGTGGGAGGGGCTGCCAGACTTGGGTGGGTGTGTACCAGGTCAAGGAAAGCAACGCCAGGCCCTCACTCATTTTAAATCACTTGTAAGTGGATACTGAGGCTTTTGCTGGACAAGTTGAGTCTCTTCAGTTAATGGCCTTTCAACATGGAGGGTGATTTATTATAATTTTTTTATTTATAGAACATTTAAACTTAGGAAGTCAAACCACCTCCAGATATGAATTTATTCATGTGAATGTCTCGTGTAAAAGGGTTGAAAGGTTTACGTTTAGACCTGAATGTGTATACGCCACGAGCAGCATAATGTGTGTCTTCTTATGGTTTTCATGCTTCATTTATTATGGTTTGGTTTGGCCTGTGAGCAAGTGTTGCATTATCAATACGTTTGTGAATGTGCTGGAATTCAAACTTTCTTAATGATTTTCCTTTTTCATTAAATCGATGATTCACTCTTTTAAATTAAAAATAGGAAATAATATTCTTCTGAAATGAGGGAAATTTTAATTCTAAAATGGTTGATGTGTGCAATAAAATCTCACATATTTAGTGTGATAGCTAAATGTAATACTTTTGTGATGAGGAACAAAATTAATCTTTCACTTCTCCTGGGTAAAATCCAGTTGAAGAAACCGAGCACTACCTTTATCTGACTTAGACATTTTGAAACTCTACTTCTGATCGGAGCTGCCCGTCCTTATTTCCTGTCCTGCAGGTGATGATGGGATTGGAGAGGACTTCATCCTGATTCTTATACCTATCACATCCCCTCACATCATTAAATGAAAAATGAATGGGTACACTTAAAAAAACTGGTGAGGCGTTCTTTGACCTCTATGTTTCCTGCTCCGATTCTGTGCGTGCGTGTGTTTGGTAGACAGACAATATGAGTATGCAATGGCAGAGAGCAGCACAGATCTGTATGAAGCTGAAAAAAGGAAGAAGCAGATCATTAACTGGTGGGCTGGCTGCCATTGCTGCATTACTGGCTCTTCAATCTCAAGGTGTGGTCACAAGCCAAGGTCAAAGGTTCTCTGGTGTCCCCTCCGAGCGTGTGAATGATGGACCCCTCCCTCCAGGGCCTGGATTAGCAGTGGCTTGGTGGAGGGCACGGCTCTGATACGCCGCAGCTTTTCCATCTCACGGCGGGTGAAAGGTAAGGCTTTGAGCGAGATTTAAGACGATGAATTCTGCAGTCAGCGAGGATAAGGTTTGACTGGTTTATGAGCTACGTGTTGTACTGTTATAAAGTGCGGTAAGTGCCAGCCTTTTCTCTGGGACTGTGCTTGGATCTTCAGCCTCCCTCGCTTTCTTCAACTATCACGACAAGCCCGCTGGACGCCTCTCATCTGTTTTGGTCCAATCATCAAAAAAAAAAAACTGAAGTATTTAGGTCAGACTTTAGCCTAGCAAAGGGAGAGACAAGAGGAGAGAAAAATAAAGTACACATTCCATTATTGTCCTCTGCTCGGAGAGTGTTTCAAAGCACTGACGCAGCCAGATGCGACTGCACAGCAGACAAAAAGCCGGCTGGATGTTGAGCTAACATCTCTGTTTGTTGTGATATGCAATGTGTGTTTTATGTGCCGTGAGTGGGGGGTCTTTGTATATACATGTTTGTGTGGCTGGCTCCTCTGTGTTAAGATGTAAGCTTAGTCTTAATCTCCTTGTAGTTGAGTATCAGGCTGGTGCTAAGACATTGATTGGGCCAGCTCCTTAATTGATACCACTGGAGGACTGCCCGCCAGGGGGAATGTGGTTTCTGTGAGTGTATGTGTGCTTCTTTCTGCTGTGTTAGAAGTTAGAAGTGAATCCCTCAGTGACCTGGATGAAACGGAGCTCTCACTTATCCTTATCGAATCCCAATCTTATGTTGTCAAGCTGTGTCCCACCGGGAAACACACGTGCATGCCAGTGAGGGAGATGAGGTCTTATCCGACATTGTTAGGGGCTCCAGACAGCGTTCCAACTGCGGCAATCAGGGCAGCAACCCAACATGATAACTTAGCACAAGAGCAAGTGTGATTGCCTTCATTAATTCACTCACGCACACACGCCCCCCACCCATATGAACACATGCCATTACATGCAGCCAGGCTTCTTGCTCTGGTAATCAAGTCCTGAGACTCCAATTATAAAAAAGAATAATTCATTTGCAGCTTTTCTCCATATTCATGAGGGCGGCACTATAAACTGAATTCCATACATTGTTGAATGTATGTTCCTGGATGAATTATAGATGTTTTTTGAAATTGTTGAGTGTTCTTAAATGTCATCATTAATCCGAACAAGAGAGCAACAGTGCCAGCTCATATCCACAGAGGAGAGTGAAAATGTGTTTTTGTCTCTGCAGAGTTTGTGTATAAAGAAAAAGATAAAGGAACCAGATCCATTCTATAGCTTGTATTATTCCTTTGTGTATGAGAGAGAGAGAGAGAGAGAGAGAGAGAGAGAGAGAGAGGCAGGCCTTATGTGCATTTGAGGCAGCCAGTGTGTATCTTCAGGCGTTCGGAGCAGGGATGATCAGAGGGTGGGAGCCCAACACATTCATCAGGGCTCTCCACAGGGACAGAAGTTGAGGCGCTCCACAGAGATGAATAAAAACGCTGCCGACCAGTAAGAAATTTAATAATTTATTCCAGGAATGAAGTGGAGGGGATTTGGAGACAAGTGAGTGTGGAAGGGGTAGGGCAGAGGAATGGATTAAGGCTGACTTCAGTGTCTGTGGGAGATAGAGGCGTGCACTGTGGCCCTGCACTTTTCCCTATTCACACACAGCAACTGAAAAGAAATTCAATTGCCCCTTTCCTTCACTTTCTGCCCAGTGTGCGAGATGGGAAACGGACAAGAGTGCGACCAAATGCAAAGTAAAGTTACATGTGTATGAAGGTGGAGGGATTTACAGACAGGTGAAAAGGCATCTCTGGTGCTTTTAAAAAGATGGCAGCGCTCCGTCGCCCCCTTCACTCTCCTTTACCATCCCCCTTCCCATCTCCCTGTTTCCATCTCATCTAACAAGCTCCACACCTTCTCACTCCATGTCAAAGCTCCATATCTTTAATATTAATACTATCCAGTGCAGCCAGGCTCAGACTGTCATCCCAGTGGCTTTGAGGCCAGTACACTCCAAAAGAAATCAAATTTGATAAGTTCACAAACGGCTGCTGAAAGCCGCACCATGTGGAAGTCTTCGAATATGCCCTGTGGCTTAAGGCCTGTTTATTTAACGACAGCCAAGCCAGATGGAGGAACTTGCCAGTCACACAGAGAGAGAGGAAACAACAGCAAAGAAAACTTAAAATTGGGAAATTACTTTTTTTAATTTCATTGAATGGCTGAAAGGAACAAATTCAGTAGTTCAGCCCTCCCACACTGCAACGATCACACCCACATGTGACACTGTGAGCTGTAATTTGGCCTGTGTAATTATACGTCATATTTAATTTCAGGTACACTATATTTACTGCCATGTCTGGCAATAGAAGCCTTCTCTTACCCCACAATCTCTCACTTAATGTGATGTACCCCGTCTTATATATTTCTTCTCTTTCAGTTGGACATGATTAAAGCAAAATTATGTAAATGTAAGTTATTTATTTATAATTTTGCCTCATTAATTGCACTTTGAATCAAATTCTAATCTTTTTTAATCTTTCTTGTGTTTGTATCAGGTGCACACAGGTTGAAAAGTTAAGATTATAACCCTTTACTATGTTAATGCCACTGGAGGACTGCCCGCAAACCTGCATCATGTTTGACACAAACGTGATGTGTTTTGCACAGAATGTGTGCATCTGTTCTTTGTATTTTCCCCTTCTGCTTTTTCTATAGAAAACCAACTTCCTTTCTAGGAAAATCTGATTTTCCAAAATGACACAACAAACAAGAATCTTGCCAAGAAGAAAAAAAAATCCCATTATTTTTTTTCATCGAAAAATAAAAAAGCTCTTGTCTGAACATGCTCATTTATCTGTTATGTTTGTGGGGGGGATAGTCAGGGTCTTGAGTAGCATTTGTTGAGTTTATTGTGATGGCTGCTGAAGCTATAGGCCATCCATCTTTGTTTATTATTTGCCTTCTGGAATTTTTCATTAAAATAACAAAAGACAACAAAGCTATTAAGTGTCTTAGTTACAAGCCACAGATGGTGGATCTTCCCCTCTCGCACATGAATACAGGTCAGTCGTAGAAGTGTGGTGGATGTATTCAGAATCTTAATTTCAGTAAAGTTGATTTCCCTAACAACCAAAGTAATACTCAATGCAGAGAAATGCCTCCTAAAAGTGTTGTACTATTATGCATTACAATACTGGATGACTGGCAGGCTACTGATGGGTAGCATTTTATTGGTTCACAGGTGGTGAACCTATATCAGTATCACACTGAGGAAACAGAGCTGCAACAAGTAGTGGATTGTTCAATGGCGAATATTTGGATAATCAATTCATGATATAATGTGTGTGTGTTTATATATCTATATATACATACATGTTATTGTGAACTGACAATAATTGTTCATTGAGTCAAAGGTGAATTTACTTTTATCAGGGAAACATTTTCCCCAGGAACAGAGGTTTTCTGCATCTGATATCATTATGTCAGTAAAAATAAGAAAATATACAAATACGCTGAAAAGATGAATAGTGTACAGAAAATGAATTGCAACTATGATTTTTCCAGCCATTTGTAATAAAAAAACACTTATTTATTTGTGCGTGTATTAGAGAGAGAGAGAGAGAGAGAGAGAGAGAGAGAGAGAGACTGTACTGTTTGATTGTTCGCTGAGAGCCAAACAGATGTGTAAATAGAGATAGTGGCGCCAAGTCACATCAGATTAGACCAAGCTACAAAATCAAACTGCCTTTCACTCACACACAAACACACACACACTCTCACAGACAATATATGGAACAGGGAAAAACAAACAAAGCTTCAGTCATATGTCTGGTCTTTATTAACCACAACAGGAACACACACCCCTGCACATGTAAATGTATTCATACACTGTAGGTCTCTGTGTGCTACGGGAACATACCAACACACTGTGGGATAAATACAGCGATGACGCATGCCATCACATGATTCATAAACTCTAATGTTACCACTCCAATATCTCTATAGGCCCCAGGCACAACAGAGAGACCGCCACCAAAAGAGGGAGAGGAGCAAAGGGGCAAGCTGTGATGATGAATTGATTGATGAATGCAAATGAAGATGAATGCATGTGGCAAATACAGATAACCAGAGGAATATGAAGAGTACAGCGGCTGGTTCACCTTCTCCTGTAGCAGAAAATATGAATACCTGATGTGAATCTGGCCTATTAATACCATGGCAGCGACAGTGAACGCACCACTGAACCAGACATGGATCCCTTATCACGGATCATATGGGCCGGGAACAGCGGTCACCAGTCTTCCCTATACCATCTGGAGTCTAATCACTGGGCCAGGAGGCACAGATCATCCTAACCTTTATTACCATATGGGCCGAGTCCTAAAACTGGCCATAGATCAGTGTACGTGTCGAGTAATGGCAGCGGTTTGTGCTTTAAATTGTTGGTCTCCAGTGCAGCATCACACAATCACAAAATATGCTGGATGAAAATGACCATGTGGGAACTGCTGATGCGTGTATCTATCTTGATAGTTGATTAAAGGAAGGGGTGGTAATTTGTTTCTGATACATTTTTTTTTTAAACCTAATTTGTTGAAATTCTCTTAAATGGATAGTTCACCCAAAAAGGAAAATTCACACATTATCTACTCACCTCTTTGCCAATGGAGGGGTGGGTGAAGAGTTTGATTCCACAAAACACTGATGGCGTATCAGGGGTAAACAGTGTTTCAGCCAAATCAAATACAATCAAGTAAATGGTGACCTATTCCTCAAATGTAAAAACTTAACTCGATACTGCTCCTGTAGTGTCACCCAGGTGTCAGTAAGCCCCCACATTCAAATTTGCCTTGAAACAAGGTCATTTACACCATGTTTTTAAACTGGAAAATGACCTTGTATAAAGAGTGAATTTTCATTTTTGGGTGAACTATCCCTTGGGGACCATAACTAACATGACCAATCATTTCATAATAAAACGATTGGTTGGCAGTGGGCATGTTTTCAAAGTGTAGCCTGCTCTAGCTTTTCTGTAATTACCAACCCTTGCTTTGATTGTTTCAGTTAAAACACAAGCCTTTCATAAACAGGTTTTACTGCTTTACTCATTTTACATAAAACATTTTTTGTTTTCATTTGTTGGTCGGGCAAAACTGTAACGTTGGGACTGACAAAAGAGATTGAGAATTGTGTAGGAGGCAATGTGAAGTGTTTTATCACACCAACCAAGAGTTAGTTCACCCACTCACAGAAACATGCAGATAGTTTTTCAGATTGTAAGATGTCTATCTGTGACAGCTCTTACTTGCTGTGTAGAGTTTTTCATTGGAACAACTTTCTACTGTGAAAACACAAAAAGTGAAAACTGCTCACAGACGGTTAAGAATATCCAGAGTTATGAGGATACTGATTCTGGATAGAAATGCTGTTGAATTTTTTTTAATGGACATTTTTCAAGCTCAGTGTGAGTAGCACAAATGCATTTCCTTTTCCTCTTTGGATAGAAAAGCACCTGAGAAAACATTTGGGTGAAATGGACCTTTTAAAAAGCACGTCACACAAATCTGAACAAAATTTTTCTGATCACAATGTATTCAGTGTAATTGGAGTGCGTGCGCACGCGCACACACACACACACACACACACACACACACAC